TAAATGGGTACCGGCGAACTTAATGCTGGGGGTAACCCTGCGATGAACTAGCATCCCATCCAGGGGGGAGCAGAAATACTCCTAGTCGCTTCATGCCACAGAAACCGGGATAAACTCCGGCCTGGTAGGCCACTTGGTCCGTATGCAGACTTTACTTTTTATTCATCTAAGTAGTAAATCCCGTCTATCTGTAGCCCTCTAGCAAATTCATGCCATTTATAATAAAGAATTCTGATATTTGATAACTAGAACTCGCGCGCAAGTTCTTAATTGCATGAAGAGAAAACTCATTTGGGGCGATGCAGTTCGCAAAATTTGGCAACTCATTCCCACGCTCGGGTGTAACAAGGACGTTTGAGTTCTTCCAAAACACTCGAACATCTGCCACAGGTTATGCAAGCGCCAAATGGCCTTTTTGACTTGTTTGTTTAAAAAAAAAGAAGAAAAAGCAACACGCTGAAGTTTATAATTTCACTGCCTTGCCTCTCCTTAAGCAGAGCAGTGTTACGTACCTCCAGGTTTTGGATCCATCGATATAAAGGCTCCTCCGTACCACTGAGGGGAGTATATATCATCTAAAGTAACGTTGTACTGAAAGAAACAAATGCAGGAATATATAACACTCAAGCACACATCCTTACTTATGTACACAAATGTTTTAAACCTCCAGCGTTGTAAACATTTTCAAAATGGCTAACCCAATGTTCAGGGTATTCAAACATTTCATCGTTGAAGTTGTGTCTTATGAAAACAGAGTAGTAAAAATATAATAAAGATATAATAATTCTCGATGAAGAAAGATACCAGAGCTTCATAGTTAACACGACAGCAATCTAATATATATATTTTTTTATCAACCTAAACTGAACGGCAAGGAAATACCGTGTAATGCTTACCGTATCTGTGTAAACTATTCGTGTACAACTTTTCGGCGCCATACCTAGCCAAGAAGAGCAAAACATTTTTACAGTAAAACTTTCCCATTTCTGACGTGCCTTCTCGCTTGCACTTCACAAGTCGGAACTAAATTTTGGCTTGAAGTTTGATGATTACGTTCAATATAAGAACATTCAAAGAACTTTCAAACCTGTACGCACTTATATAATTATAATATTTACATTTTTGTAGGGCGTATTTCTTAACTCAATGCGCCTAACAACAAATGATTAAATAAATAAATAGAACAAAAGAAATAACTAACTAAACAATTACTTAAGAAAAATAATAGACTAATTAATTAAGTAAAAACTGTCTTTAAAAAATAAGTCTTAAGTTTTTCTACAGGCTCATAAACTGAATATCGATCATTCGCCATCATCACAAAATGGACGCTTGAGAACCCATGGTCAAATGTCACAATTTACAGAAATCATTGAGCGTAATAGTATAAACCAGCACTGTACCGTGATCTCCAACTAAGATTATATTTATCTTGTCTTGCATGGATCTTTCCTTAAGACCATTCCAAAGTCTTCCAATCATTTCATCAACTCGTTGGATTTGTATGTTCGTCTACAACATATAAGTTAAATAAATTTGGCGTATCATAAGGGCTACACCAGATATAGTTTTGAATGTTGTTCCGAATTCCCATGGGTTACCTTATTATTTCAGGTCATACTTAGAAATAACCTAAAGATACTGGATCCTAACCCATGTCACACCGACCAAGTTCAATAAAAGACTGAGGACTGAGGACAGATAAGAGCCGATAGCCGCTATGTGTGGACACCTAAAAACGATTTAGTTTTTTTATGGGACTATAAGCAGAGAATGTCTAGCTACCGATTGCAGGTTTATCTGTTGTCTCGAACAGGAACCCATATTTTATTTCTACACAATAAAACGCCTAACGCTGAAAAAGCAGACTTAAACTGAACTGGTTCATCTCACCTTTGCCGAGTCAGGTCCACTACGATGAGCGGTGTAATCAGGTTCGTGGAAATACAAGGTGATGAAGGAGGGCCGCCTACAGATAAAAAAAAAACCATCAAAAAGTTAACTGTAAGAACATTCTATTAACTTAAATTCGAGGTTACCAGAATATATATTTTACTAGGTGTGTTATCGCGTAGTATCGCTTGTTGTAGTTTCAAGAGTCCTGCAGTATTTTGACGAGCCCATAGGCTAAATACAAACCAGTAGAAAAGCGTATTACAGCGACACTGGAAACCAAATTCTAAAAGCACTTCTTCTCATTCCCAAAATACAAACTTTGACTCCCCTTCTTGCCTTTTCTGTTCTGGCAAGTGGTGAAGAGGACTATATGTGTGCGAAGATTTAAAGCAGCTCAGTCACGGCATTTTGAGTTTTTTGGCCACGGACAAAATTACCTTTGAATTGAAGGAAAACTGAAAACGCCAAAGAGATAGTAACAAACCATAAAGGAACAAGGATGGTTATGGATGGAGAAGATTAACGCGGATTACAAATGACGAACTTGAAAAATTTAGGCTAAACTTTTCAAAATACACAAACCGTGACGTAGCTCCCTTAAGATGTATATTTCCTGTTAAACTTGCTGCTAACTTGACGTGAATTGATACAATAAAAATCCAAATATTTATTACCAATCGCCACTGTCTTTCTTAGGGTCGACCGGACCACAGTGTGGCGGAAAATCCAACCAGCTCAGTACTTTATCCACACGAGCTTCAAATGGATGGGACCTAACAAGTTAAGAAGACCAGCAAGATAACACTGAGAAAAGATCCATGCACGGCAAACATTTTTCATTATTGAAGTAGATCCGTGCTTTTTGATTGGTTCTTTCTTGGTCGGGATTTTGCTATACGCGCCGTTTCCATGGAAACGGTCACAGTCATAAGCCGCGTATTTCTTGCTTTTTTCAAGGACCAACGCAGGTGCGGTTTAATAAACTACTTACTAACCTAGCTTGCTCGAGCCGTACTGGGGAATATTGGCACTTGGTCGCTGCGCTCGATCCGTACTGCCACGACCTTACGTCAATATTCCCCAGTACGCCCCTCGTGCTCGGTTGATAAGAGCCTCATATTTCCTAATGAAACCCAAAGCACTCGGACATGTTAAATTTCCCTTAAATTTCCGTTTTGTGCGATTTGGATTTTGTCAACATTTTATTCTAGATTCTTTAAATCCTTTAAATTATTTCCTGTTTTTTTTTTATATTTTTTTCTTATTAGAGCTGTTCTGACATTTTTAAAAACTGTGAAAACTAAGAGGTCGGTGCTCAGATGGCCGATGTTTTCAAATGTGACGTCATCTCGACGCTTAAAAGTAAACGGTTGGATGCTTTGCAAGCCAGGTAATTTTGCTTGCTACTGCGGGAATTCTCTAGGAGATGCAGAAGGGGAAGGGAGAAGCACAAAAAGAACCCCAAAGGTGAACGGTGCCCCTTAGAACAATTGAAGTTCTAGAGCCTTGTATAAGACTGGCGCGTCTGAAATTTGAATTGACCAATCAGGATTCAACAGGCGGGAGATACTTTACTGTCCTGACATCAATGCAAGTTAACAGGAATAGCATTGACATTAGGCAACTTTTCTCACTGGAGTTGGCATTAAATATTCACGAATAGGGATTTACAATTCCCAAAACCATATAAGATTGTAAATAGTGAAAAATATGAAACATTTTGTGTCTCCAAGCTTCCAATTTGGCGCCAAAATGGGTCGCCGGCGTCCGGCATGGCAAAATAGAGCTTTCAATATACTCAATAAGTCTAACTTGTAATGGTACCTGTTTTGCCTTCTCTGTTGATACTTACTGATTGTAAGGCAACATGATGTTGGGCAATATTCCTGAAAGTAAAATATTACACATCATTTTAATTTCTAAATTGCACATGTGGGTTGCAAACTCTAACCAGCAATTGAACGAAGAAATTTCTATGTATTTGGTACGAAAAACAAATGAAATTTGCTGTAATCAATCGAGGTAAAAATTGTTTTTTCTCACCAGTCAGGAGCGAGCGCCAACAAGTTAATCGCTTAGCGAACAGTACGCTTTTCCTCGCATTTTTACAGCGACTACCTGTGATATGCCTTCGGCTGGAAGGAAGGGCCTAAAGGGAACTGGCCGCGAGGCTACGACTGTCTTACCGCAGTTGATAACGGTTGAACGTTTTCCCACACTTAGCACTTCTTGCATGGCTTTGTTTCAAATTTTCAGAGGTTCACTGCATTACCTTCCTTTTCAGTGAATAGTCAATTGCGATTATATTGATTTTGTTATATTAGCATTTACTAGGAACACGTAACTAAATGGACATCTTATTTATAACTCACATCTTACCTTCAACAGGGGCCTCTGATCCCACCCAGAAGTATGACGCGGACACAAGACCTTGCTTAACGGCGGTCACCCACAACTAGCAATGCAAGAAAGCATGGATAGGAGTCCGAGGTACTTAAAGATGATTTCCAGTCCGCACTACACAGCCCCAGCACCCTAATGTTTATAAACATTAGAAATCTCACTCGATGGAATGCGAATCAATGATTTTCGTTACGAACCACATACCTTATCTTTGAGGCCTCTCAAATTCTTTTTCCAACAGCTTCATTGATTTTTACAGATGCGAAGTTGTTTCATCAAGTGATTTGGCGGTTGTTTTGAAACTTCGAATTTATAAAATTACTTCTTGGGAGTAGTTACGAAATGTTTACATTTTGTGATGTCTTACATGATACAAAACGAAAAACGCAAACAAACTCTCGAGAATGCGCAGTACGGACTGGAAATCACCTTTAAATTATGTAAAGAATGTCACAAGATTATTATTTGGTCACGATAAACAGTTTGGAAAAGGATGGCATTTCTTTGGAATTGAATGAAAACAGAAAAAAATCGTCCATGGTAGGATTTTAAAAAAGTACATTTGAAGCTCTTGCTTCTAAGTTCCTGTAAGTAACCACCCGTAAGAGGAGGAACAGCGGCAGCAGCAGCAGCAAGTGGGGAAGGAGCAGAAGCAGCACCGCCACCAGTAGAAAAATAAGTACGAAAAGGAGCATCAGCAGCAGCGGTAACAGCATTGAAAAGCTACAGGAGGAAGAGCGGAAGGAGGAGGAGGAGGAAGAGGAGGAGGAAGAGGAGGAGGAAAGGCAGCAGAAGTAGCAGGAGGAGAGGCAGCAGCAGGAGCAGCAGGAACAGGAGGAGGAGCAGTCCGGTTTAATTCGGAAGTCCCAAGTCAGAACGATACATTGGATCCCTAATATATTGCATAGACATGTTCCAGAAACGAAGCATCGAGGCAAAAGACAGTATCTACCCACCGGTTCGCCTTTCCACCATTTTGGATCATCAGCAGTTGCTCCTCCGATCTTAAAATTGTCATTCAAGACATTGTCTCTAAACCTATTGGCCACAATGCCGCTATGCACAGGAAAGAGACCCTAGTGATGAATAGAATTCAATAAGACAAGGTCACAAGGCGTGTAATGGGTCATTTTACCTCTGTTTCAAAACGAGTCCACGTGCAAAACCTTTCGTGTGAAAATGAGTTTAGGAGGGACACATTTTCGTCTGAATGGTTTCGATTTCGCACGAAGGCTCTTTCTGAAAAAGAGCCAAAATGCATCTAGGAAATGGCGTATTAAAAAGGACAGTGAGTTACATACTGCGAAAAGAAAATAACCTTAAGTTTTCTTCCTGATTATATACAAAAATTCTGATGTTAAACAATCTCTATCATCTCTAATGAAAATATCTCGACGTTAAATGCCTAAGAACTGTTCTTTTACCACCAGGCTATGATTCAGATTTGTTTTCTTGTCATCATAACATCGTAAGACCTCGCTACAAGCTATGCCATAGAAGTCATAGAAGACAAATCAAATAGCTGTCGTGTATAGCGCCTAACACGCTGACGCGAGCCATTCAAGAAAATGGCGTCCGTTCTCTTGTTTTCCTTAGAAACGTTCATGTTACTTAGCAACGTTCATGTTACTTAGCAATCTAATGAGAAATACTGTCGGATCAGTGAGTTCTCGGAGACATAATTCAACTATAAGAGGTACCTCGTCCTCTACAGTGCTATTTAAAGTGCGAAGAAAGCGGTTGGACGTTTACTTCTACTGCCGTGGATACTCACCGTTGCCATGGAATAATGGTTTGGGAAGGTCTTTGTCGGAAACTGGGGGAGCAAAAAGTTTGCTCTGACTCCATTACTGGCTAATTGCAAAAAACAAAAGACAATAACAACATCAACATTACGTTTTCCCCACTTCGCTGTTTCCTACCTCAGCATACTTAAATTTGCGTTTTCTTTTGATTTGAAGGTCATTTTGGCCATCTGTGAAAACCAAGGCGCATCGTGATAAGAAAAATGTGTGAAAGGTGAATTGATCAACATGACACGAGCGTGGGACAAAGAAAACAATCTGAGTCCACGACAGGAATAGAACCCATCTCAGATTTTTCCTTTGTCTCACGCTCGTGTCATGTTGAAAAATTCACCTTTCACATTTCATTACCGAGCTTAAAATTCACCATCTTCATTCACTTATCAAGAACTATGTGGTTTGCAGTTTTGCTTTACTACTGAATACTTCCTCAAACGCACAACAGCATATTTCCCCTTGATCTCTTGTGCAAGAAAGCTGTCTCAAATACCAAAGTTTGGCGTGATTATGGTTAACCAAGCCAAACGAAGGCTAAAGAACTCTTCCATACAAAGAGCACTTACTTGCCGAACTGTCGTTTTTTCAAGGTCTCTAATTTCAGTTAGACATGTATCATTACAGGCGCTGGCGATTCTCCGGGAATAGATTTTGACGAAAACCCATGTTGCCTGGAAATTGAACTTATTTTCAGCAAGAGATCGTTATTCTCTTCTGCTTGCAGTTTCCTGCCTGCCCGCCAGTGTCTGTCCGTATCAAGTGTGCTCTCCGTCCACCCGTCCATCTGTTCGTTCATCCCTCTGTTTCTCTGTCTGTCTGCCTGCCTGCCTGTCTCTCTGCCTGTGTCTGTCTGTCTGTCTGTCTGTCTGTCTG